CATACACATTGAGCATCGCCGCGTCCGCCGCAGCGATGTAAAAAGCTTTCGGGCCAATCGTCCTCTAGTTTGCTGGAGGGGGTGCGCCGACCACTCTGGGACAACTTGTCTCTGCGACATTGCTTTTCCTTTGCCTTTTCCTCATTGCCATGCATTTTCCAGGCCTCAGCTGTGTGATGTTCTGTGACCTTTTGGTCGCAACGTGCCTTGCAGGCACGCGAAGATCTTCCGGCGAGCCACTACCATGGCTGGCTTTGCTGGGGAATTGCCGTGAAGCGCTTGCAGCTCCTGCTCACCGCCTCAGACGGCGCCTCGCGGGTTTTTCAGAGCGGCGGACTTTTCCAGGTTGCCCACAGCAGCGCCGACAATGCCAAATTCGAATTGGCACCTGGATTGCCAGGAGTTGTTGCCGAGGGCGACCTGTGCTGATGCTGATGCCGCAGCGGGAGACCCTCTGGGCTGCTAGACTTGGGAGTAGGCAACGTCGCTTTCTGAGTGCTTCACTTTTCCCTCGCCCAAGGAAATGTCACCCTGAGGTTTGCCCTAAGCCCTTGTCAGGACAATTGGGGAGTTAGTTGTGACAAGCGGCCAGTCAGAACATCGCCTTGCTTATTCTAGGGTATTGGTTTGCCGTTGTCCGCCTAAGGCGCGCGGCGTCTTGCTGCGAGCTTGGCGCGCTTCCTCCTTGGAGTTCCCAGCCTTGCGCCAAGTGCTCTGCGCTGCAGCGGACGTTGCACGCGCTTCACTCTTGGCCCAGGCTGGGAGCTTGATTCAATGTCCACCCGACGAAAAAGGAAACGGGTTAACAGTAGGGGTTTGTCGTGCGTGGAGGCAGCAGCGGAGTTGGCCCGGACTGCCGCAAATGCTGACGAGCGCCGGGTGCTTCAAGAACTCCAGCAGAACGGCACCAGAGTTTTCAACTTACGGGCTGGGCCCGGATGTGGCAAGACGTATTGGGCCATCAAGCTTTTACGCCAAGTGCGCCTTGCCTTAACAACTGTGTCGGGTTTATATCTCTTATTTCCGGTGGCCACAGCAACATTCCGTTTCTGTTTGACAGTGTGCAATATTGTCACCTCAGAAAATAGATTTGCGAAGGCTTACGCAGTATTGGCAGCTCTAGCCTCAGCCCTAAAATAGGAGTGCTACTGTAGATGTTGATGTGTCCGGGGACGGGCTTGGAGTTTCAAGCAGCGGCTTTCGTAAAAAATATAGTTAAGCCTAACCCTGTCTCTCAGGAGCAGCAGCGCAGATCACGCGCACCTTCTCCACGTCTGCATCACCCCCACGAGGAGCCTTCGCGACGAGCTCTTTCAGGCTGCGTCTCTCCAGATGGACTTCCACCAGCTCTGGCCAATGGGCCAGTGCGACGACAGCGACATGTTCATAGAGCATCAGTATCGCGTGATCGAGCTGGATCACCCACAGTCCCTGCAGCAGTTGCAAAGGCTCGAGCGGGAGCTCGCAAACTGTAGCTGGCGCACCCCGCCGCCCACCGTGATGCAGCTCCTAGCACAGCACCAGCGGCTCGTCTTCTCTGTGTACGTCCTCGGGGCCGCGGCGTCGCTCAGAAGACTAGAGGACCTGCGTCGCACGCATGTCTTACACCGGCCCTCTCCCCAAGCAAGGGCCGCTTGTGGTCGCGATGTCTAGGCCCGTGTTTGCTTCGTCGGTGATGTTATAGCGGGCAAGTTGATAACAGGCCGGCTGCAGATATGCGCAGGAGCAAGGCCGCGTGCTTTTCGCTACGCGCAGCTGGTGGTGCAAACGCATGGCTGGGGTGAGAGTTGCGGGAGCTTCTTGGATTTCACAAAGAGAGCTCGGTGTTCTCTTCATGGACGAGGTCGACGAGGCGCTGAAAGTAAGTGTTTGGCCATTGAGCTAGCTCAGGGCCTTGGATGTGCGCGTTGCCATTCTCTCCTGCTTCCATGCCAGGGATCAAATGAACAAGGTTCTTTGAATGCGCCAAATGCTCAAAGCTCTCCAGGCTGCTCTGGGCAACCTTTGCGCGGCGACTGCTGCGCAGGACAGATGCCGTGTGCTTGTGTGTCTGCTCTGGCGCAGTTTTCTTTTTCATCACGCCCCCTCGCAATTGCTGTTTAGCCAGGGAGGAGCCCTTCATGACACCAAATCCAAAAACATTGCAGAACGATAAGGAGAACAAAACGATAACGTTTTGTAGAACTCTGGAGCTGGAGCTCTGCTGCTTTCGTGAGTTTTTGGCCTTGAAATGTTTGATTGCTGGGTCTCAGCCTATTTCATGTGGCCATCCTGGCTTCATGCATTTGGAGATTAGCTAGGCTCGCACGTGCAGCTCCCAGAGGGACTGTAGATAAATTCCGCCTGGGACCCTGCCCCGAAGATGAACCACCCCACAGGGGTTTATGAGTCTGTTTGTCATTGAAGTCTGCGCAGTGAAAAGCAACCATGCAAGCAGGGCCTAGCTTTGATTGCATCATTTTGGAACCCTGCAAGGCACCGCCTTGCTTGACCGCTTGTCTTTCAGAAGGATTCCATGTTGAAAGCTAGGGAGCTCTGTGAGGAAGCGCCCTTGAAAGACTTTTTCTTTGATGGACTTGCTGTTCTATGTTATTGCCGTGTGCGTAGCTTTTTACGTTTTTTTGGGGTTTGTTGGGATTAGTTTTTAAAGAAACCTGAGATATGGCAATGTTATGATGCCCTTCCTGTTCTATGTTACTGGTGCGAGTTTTGATCTTTCTCAATGTTTCAGGGATTGGCATTGCTAACATGGAGCGCGAAAAGCGCCAAATGCAATGCAAAAGTCACACACACACACACACACGAGCCAGCGCTGGGTGTACTTGTGTCCATGGATTCCAGGAGCTTCTCACTGCGTCGGACGCAGGCCAGTTCCTGTACCCTCTGAGTGGCTTCTCGAGGACGGGCGCCTGGCTTGAGGCGGACAGCGCGGCGGCGCCATCCAACAACATGACCATGGAACTCCTGCTGCAGTCTGGGGCCAGTGTCAGATTGGCTGCGAGTCGACGCTTCGGCGCGGAGATCAGCAACTTCTTGCGCTTCGTGCTGCCTCGAGACTACAGCGATCTCACATCTCACAACGATGCTCCACCGACCGCCTTCAGCATCGTGGTGGCCCAATGCTCAGACTTCATGGACGTGAAGCTGTCCGAGGGACACTCTGCAGGCTAGGCGGTGAGGCTTATTTCTCGGCAGCGGGCTGCGCTGCCTTCTGATGTTTTGCCCGGCCCCCCCAGCGCAGTCAATCAGCCTGTTGCGCATCCTGCGGTCATGTGTGGATTTTTCTGGGTGCTGAGTGTGCCCCTAAGGAGAAGACTTTCCTTTCATGTTTCGTACCGGGAACTATGCTTGCTGAGATAGCCTAGCACTGTTTCTGTGTGTGTGGGGAGCTTTTTCTCTCAGATTGTTCTTGCATGGTTTGCTTTTGGGGCCTCTTCTTCTGACACTGTGTTTAGTGTTGGGGGCCATGCTTCCTCATAAATGTTCTTTCGTTTCACGACGTTAGAGAGAGTACCGCAGGAGCGGCTACTAAAGAGGGACTGGAGCCTTGCCCTCAACTAGCTCTTTTCGGCACTGTTTTGTGCTGTTTTCCCAACCACAGTAGCGTGTAGCACAAGCAGGCTCTAACTGTAATAGAGGCTGGCTTGCATCGCGGGTTCCGGTATGGCAGCTGTCGCAAACAAGTCATCTTGCATGAGTTCGGGAGTTAGGTTGGACCCCTGCCCTGATTGACACGCAGGCTCTGTGGTCAGCAAGACGGTGTTTAGCTGCATCGCCGAGACCGTTGCAAGTTTGCTGAGCCGTCACGGGGGTAGCGTCCTGGTTCTCGCACCCTACGCACGGCTCCGCCAACTTTTGCAGCAGTGGCTCGCGCGCCTCGGCAGCGTTTTCCCTACCATAATTACCTTTTTTTTCCTCGCCGCAGGCTCAGCTTTGCTTCCTTTGCGCCTGCTCAGGCATGCCTTGCCGGACCTTCAGAGGCTCCACCAGTACACGGTTCGATCGATCCGACAAGCGAAAGGAAGCACATGCACTTCTGCCATTGCAGTGTTCCTCCGCCGCACGGCGAGCGAGGACCTCTTTCAGGGGGCGCTTATGGACCCAGCAAGACTTGCCATCGCGGCTTCTCGTGCGTCTCGAGAAACGGTGCTACTCGTCGACCATGCCTCACAGGGGTCGGGCAAGCACTGGGACCGCGTATGGCAATATCAAGGTGCGCGGTATGAGGTGCTCCGAACTGGACCTGAACGTTTCAACGCAGCATGGCACGCCTTCGACCCGGATGAGAGCTGCAGCCTGTCCTCCGACGAAGAGGAGCTCCCAGGGCCGCCCCTGGAAGAGTTCTTCGAGGACGCAAGTCGCCTGCGGTCCTGGCTGCGCCAGCCAGACACGCAGCACGGGGGCGAACAGGCGTCCCGGAGTTTGTTTTGGCCGCTGTTGCCGGGGAAGTCTGTATTTCTTGGTCTTCTCTTCTTCTTTTATCTCGCACGGGTTGATGGGGGGGGAAGGGTTCGGCGGGGGAGGGGGGGTGCTGAAATGTCGTCCCTTGAAACAAATCTGTGTGCAGCCATCACACGTTGTCGCCTTTCGCCAGTCACAGCGCTGCGCCTGCAGGTGCAACAACGCAGATTGATTTGCAAGGATGCCATGTTTTACATAAACTTGCCCTTTTGCACTGGTTTTCCTCTGTAAATACACCGATGCCCCTTTTTTCTGCCGAAGTGCTGCGCCTGCCAACAAAGTCACACCACGCCCCCAACCCCTCCAACGCCAAAAAGAAAATGACACTGGTTTGAGGCTGAAAATCCTTGCAAACTCGGCTAAGGGGTGGCTGAAACATGGTCCAACGTGTGCGCGCGCAGCCATCACTTTGCACGTTATCTCCTTTGCGGCCACAGCACAGCCACATAGCGATAGCGCGCGCTGCACACAGGTGTAACACAGGTTGTTTTGCAACGTTGCCCTTTAAGTAATGTAACTTGCCTTGCTGCGCCACGCAGGTGCGTCGGACTGCCGCCCCAGCCTACGACAGCGGGCCCGCGATTGCTTTTGCTCTTCACTGGGCGCCGTGGGCCTTGCCGGCTACTGGCGTCAGCGGCTGCCTCGGCGAGCTGAACGTCGCCATCCACTTCGTGAGTTGGCGAGGACAGCCACCAGTGGAGTCCCTGCCGACGAGCGCCGCGCAACATCTGCTGCGCTGCCTGCCGAGCGCGCTCCAGAGCAGCCTCACGTGCCAGACCGGCCGACACAAGGCGGCTGCGTTCGGTTTTTGCTTTGGGCACGGTCAGGTCAAGTTGTCTGCAGCTTCGTAGATCCTGCTGAATGTGAGTCTCTTTTGCGTTCCGTTGCCGCCAGCCCGCAGAGCAATTTGGACGTGTGGAGTTTGCAGACTTCGCACCACCTTGACTTTACAGCCTCCGGCTCAGTCCGCCGACGTTGTCCTCTCCCTTTTCTCCTTCTTCCTCTCTCCCTTGTCTCCCTTGTGTGTTCTGTCGTCCTCTCTCCCTCCCTCTGATCCCCATCCTCCCCATCCCCCCAAGCCTCTCTCTCCCCAAGCTCCCTCTCTCGCATGTATGTATGCATGTATATGTGTATGTCTGTATGTATGTATGTATGTATGTATGTATGTATGTATGTACGTCTGTGTGCATGTATGTATGTATGCAATGTATGCGTGCATGTAATGTATGTCTGTATGTATGTATGTATGTATGTATGTATGTATGTATGTGTGTATGTGTGTATGTGTGTATGTATGTATGTATATGACTGTGTGTATGTATGTATGTATGTATGTACGTACGTACGTACGTATGTATGTATGTATGTATGTATGTATGTTTGCTCCCCAGTATTTCCCGCAAAAACACGCTTTTCCTTCGTTTTCGCAATGAGGGCATCCAAAAACACAGAGTTTTCCAGATTTTCGGCAACAGGAGGCAAGAAGCCCAAGGCAGCAAAAAAAGCCGGCAGGGGAATCGGGCCTGGGACCCCTGTCTTGCGACACCGGCTTCCCGAAGACTGCGTGGAACGTCATCAAATTGCCGCGCGGTCGGAGGGGGGTGGCGACCGAAAAACCATGCGTAATTGACGTGTCCCGGGGGGGGACTAAGGGGGGGTTATCCTCTATCCTCTCTTAGGTATCCGACACGCCGAACAATGTCGGCGGACTTTTGTGATAGCTCTTAATACCTGTTGAAACAGATCCTAAGTCTTGAAGCGTGTTTTGAAACAGCTGCGTCATCACGTCAGCAGGCCGGCATGTCTCCCAGATTCTGCTTGGCATGTCCGGCGTTGGGGTTTGCCCTGTGGAGAACCCTTTCAGTCCACTGACTGCTTTCGTGAACCTGAACGCGGCGTTGGCGTTTACCTTTGACATGCGGGTCGCTTATTGTGCGCCTGAGTTTTTCGGTCGCCTGTGCACCCGGCTCATGGCCTTGCTGGAATCAGACAAGAACTTGCCCCCCCCGCAGCACCCCTCGCTCTCCCCCCCCCCCACGCCCGCCCCAACCCCCCAGGCGTGTGTGGACACAGTGCTGCGCGGGTGCGCTTGAGTGGGCACGCTTACCATTTGGCAGGCGTGTGCGCAGTGCTGAGCGGGCGCGCTTGCGCGGGTGTGCTTACCGTTTGGCATGCACGCGCGCAGTGCTGAGCGGGTGCGCTGGCGCGGGTGTGCGTGCGCGCAGTGCTGAGCGGGTGCGCTTGCGCGGATGTGCTGGCCATTTGGCAGGCATGCGCGCAGTGCTGGGCGGGCGCGCTGACCATCTGGGTAGTCTCGGCGGGTGCGCGCAGGCGCGGGGTAAACACGTGCTGGCGCGCAAGTGATAAAGTGTGCGGAACGGGTGCGTCTGAGAGGGTGGCCTGGGTGAACCTGCGACCTGGGTGCGCAACTGACCGGTTAAGTGACCAATTTTCTGGGTGCGTCAGACGTCCCGCCTGTGCCCTTTGAAGACCCTGTCAGTCCACTGAGTGTTAACGTTGACATTTTGGCACTGGTGTTTTGACCCTGCGGGAAACACCCTACAGCATGGGCCGGCGGGATGGAAGCACTTATGGGCGGGCACCCGCCCGATACCTGTGTGTGTCGGGCCTTTGATAGAAGACTACAGCTAAGGCTAGTCTAGTGGCTTGAGCTGTCTGAGCTCTTTTGCGGACTGTTGCATCATGTCAGGCCCAAATGCACTCTGTCGGCGGCTCTCTGTATTTCACCAAGCGCTGCCACTCCTGGCGCCCAAAGGCCATGCTGCGGAACAGGAGCGGGGATGTGGAGTTCTCATGTTACGTGGCCATGGGATTGAGAAGACAACACACGTGGACATACACATTGCTGTGCTTCACGCCCTCACGAAGCCTGGCTGACCACGTGCTCCGAGTACTAAGTGTGGGAGAGCCGATGCAGCTTGGCTGGTGCTGGTGTCAAGCATGCGTTTCTGCTCTGTTGCGAACAGTGATAACCTTGGTTTGCAGCGCCTTGAAATCTAAGTGGTGGTACCACGCGCGCTGAGGTTCTCTGCCTCGGCAAGACCATTGTTTGGAGGCGAGGTGGTCGATGCCAACGAGCACGAGCAACCAGAACTCGTAGGCGACACAGGTGGTGCAGATGCAGCTGCTGTCTCAATCCCGAACAGCAGGTCTTTCAGTCAGGAACCCATGGGCGGCACCGGTGATGATATTGCTGGCGCACAGACCAGTTCAGACACGGAGTCTAGTGCTGGCTCCATTTTCAACCTTCCGTGATAGAATGTTTTGCGGAGCGTGGCGGACTCACAGCCAGTCGGTGAAAAAGAAGGGAGGTGTTAGCTGCATGGCAGTCTAACCTGAGCGGTCTCTTGCGCCATCATGAGAGCTAACGACATTGTCGAGTCCTTGCTGTTTTGTTCAGGCTTGATCCTTTTCTTGTTTTTTGTTGTGCGGAAACAGAAAAAATACGCACGAATGGGGGGGGGGCGGGCGACATTTGGCGACACACCCAGGTGTGTGGATTTTGCTGCCGAGGGATCGCTTGAGTTCAAAGATTGGCTGATGTTTGTCAACTCCATGTCTTTTGCTGCAGGGTGAGTTGGTTTTAGGATGGGTTGGATGGCATGCGTGTGGTCTGGGCGATTTGTGTGAGTCACTGGACTTGTCCTTGTTTCTGCGTGTGTGTGTGGTGTGTGTTTTGCGTTTGTGTTTGTGTCTGTGTGTTTGTGTGTTTGTTTTTGTTTTTGCTGCGTTTCTTTGTTGATTGCGTGTGTGTGTGTGTGTGTGTGGGTGTGTGTGTGTGTGTGTTTCTGTGTGTGTCCCTGCGCGTGCGCGCGTGCGCGTGCGCGTGTGGGTGCGCGGGTGCGCGGGCGCAGGCGTGCAGACACGGGCTTGTGTGTTTGTGCATCTGTGTGTCTGTTGCGCGCGTGTGTGCGTGCGTGCGTGTGTGCGTGTGTGCGTGTGTGCGTGTGTGCGTGTGTGCGTGCGTGCGTGTGTGCGTGTGTGCGTGTGTGCGTGTGTGCGTGTGCGCGCGCATGTGTGTGTGTGTGCCTGTGCGTGTTTGTGTTTGTCTGCCTGCCTGCCTGCCTGCCTGCCTGCCTGCCTGCCTGCTTGCCTGTCTATGTTTTTTTCGTGCGTGCCTATGTTTGCTGTTTCCTTGGTTGCTTGTTTGCTTGCCTGTTTGCTTTGGGGCGTTGGTTTCTGATTGTGCTCATTTGGGGGGTACTTGCATTGTCGCGCTTCGGCCCTTTGGTAGTTTGTCTTCATCGTGCTGTTACTGAGGTCCTTCTTTGGGCTTCTCGCGGACTTTGTCGAGAGGCTTGGGCCGTGGATGGAAAGTCAAATCCACGGACGTGAGTGCTTGGGAATTCCCTGAAACATGGTTGGTGGACATGAACCTCCGTGTAAATGATGTCTGCCGCAGGGTCCCAGACTAAAGCTCATACTGTAATCTGCTAAGCGAGAAGATCCGAGGGGCTGCTGCAAGAGTGGCCGTTCTTTGGGGGTCAATGGGGTCATGGCCGCTCTGCAGAGTGAGCCCCTCCCCTCTCATTTCAGGCTCAACTGGCTTGGTTATCGTCTGCGCTTTATTCCCTTATACACTAACCTGCTGCAGAGTGAGCCTGCTCTTGAAAACAAACACGGCGCCCCAGTAGGGGGCCGTCCTGAAAGGAAGCACTTCCACAGGGAGGAGTTTTTGACGCTCCGTGGTTTTGGTAGTGAGTTGGTGGCTGCTTTAGTCCAGTGGGCATTGGGTAGAACCTCTTTTCTGGCCGGCCTTTGATATAATTCCCTCAGCACAATCTGTTTGGTGATATTTTGGGGGATGCACTCAAAAGAGACCAAATAACAACCAACATGACCGCCCTTTGCACTTTCCGGAAGGGTGCCCTTTTGGAGCTGATGGAGCGCAGGCAATTCGACTCGGTGGATCTCTGGGAGGTCTTCCTTGGCAGAGCAAGCCGACACTCTGGTGAGACAACTTGTCGTGGCTTCTACCAATTCATGGGGGGACAGCCTTCAAATTGTGTCGTTTTAGCTATGCGTCGGGACCAAGATCGGTGGATGTGCTCAATTCCATTGTGATTTGAGCAATTGTGGTTTTGTTTTTTCCCCAAACAGTGTGTCTACACTAAGGGGTTCTTACGGTAAGAGAAAAGGCCTTGGTGCCAGATTGAGGTGCCCGCTCTGGCCGCGAGTGTTTTGCGTGGTATTTGCCGCAGATTCGTGCTCTTGCTTGATGTCGAAGTGCGTTTCGACTGCGCAGGCTTGTGATATTTTGTTAATTAGAAGCGTACGTTGGGTTGTATTTGTTCGCCGCACAAAAGTGATTGTTGGGCGGACTTCTGTCCGCGAGCGTTTTGCGTGCGGAGGCGTTAAAATACCCTTGTGCTCTTGTTGATGTCGAACATTTCTGGCAATCTCTACGTCGAATCCTAAGGCCTTGCCTCCTCATTGATGATCGAGGCGTTTTGCGTTGTATGTACCGCAGAATTGTGCTCTTGCTTGACATTAAGTAAGCGTTTTTTCGACCATAAAAAGAAATGCACAAAGTGAGTTTGCGACTACTGTCCGCTAGCGTATTGCGTGGTATGTACCGCAGATATCGTGCTCTTGCTTGAAGTGAAGTGCGTTTATTCGACTGCGAGGCTCGGCACTCAAGTGGGTGGTGATTCTGTCGCGAGACGGTTTTGCGTGGTATTTGCCGCAGATTCGTGCTCTTGCTTGATGTCGAAGTGCGTTTCGACTGCGCAGGCTCGCACAAAGTGAGTTGGCGACTTCTGTCCGCGAG